TTTTTTTTTTTTTTTTTTTGTTCATAAGCACAAGGACTTGTGCGCCAATTGTTTAGGAAAAAGGATATTGAGTGGTTATTGTTAATTACTAAAAAAATTTGACCTTAGTTTCAAGAAATAATCTTCCACCAAGACATTCACCCCCAAAGTAGAAGCCCTTTTGAAAGAAGCTATTCAGGAACATGGAACGTTCCAAGTATAAGAGAAAACAAGTAAAGTGAGGAACATGGAACGTTCCAAGTATAAGAGAAAACAAGTAAAGTGAGGAACATGGAACGTTCCAAGTATAAGAGAAAACAAGTAAAGTGAAAACACTGAAAGTGAAAGTCAAGAGAAAACAATGAAAGAAGCTATTCAGGAACAGAAAACAATGAAAGAAGCTATTCAGGAACAGATGAAACGTTTTCTACTTCAAGACCAAGTATAAGAGAATACAATGAAAGAAGCTATTGAGGAACAGATGGAACGTTTTTTACTTCAAGACTAAGTATAAAACAATGAAAGAAGCTATTGAGGAACAAATGGAATATTTTCTACTTCAAAAATAAGGAACATATGGAACGTTCTCTACTTCAAGACCAAGTATAAGAGAAAACAAGTATAAATAAATTTTATAACTTGAAAATGTTATAATTTAAAGGTGAAATAATTCCATTATTCATTTATTAGGTAGAATATATAATTTTTAGAAAATACTAAATATAAATATATATAAATATATTAAAGATTGTCGTGAATGATTAGGTTAAAATATGAAAAGAAAAGAGAACTTCATACAAAACATAGAAGGAAGGTATTGAAAAATTGTATAAACGAGAGCCATTTACCAGAAATCAGAGCTCAGAGAAATTATTTCAAATAACATTTGGAAAATAGCAACTAATTTTATCTTTTATAAGGAAGGAAACAAAGAAGCAGATAACTGCTTCACAAGATTCAGGTTGCCATTGCTCAAATTGTTTACATATATAAACTTAAGCCTCCATAAATCAAATAGCAACCAGAACATGATTTCCCAACTAAGCGTCTTTGCAATATGGAAAAATGATGTAAATTTCTTACCAAACGCCACTCTTTACTTCAATCTTCAATGATAACACTTCAGAAGCATGGATCTGCATCTTCCAATGCACGTTGTTGTACTTCGAGGGTCCGCCTCCATGCTTCTTATTTTACAAATTTGTTCTCCACTTCGTTCTTGGCCGCAACAGCTCCGCAAAAAATCTACCAAACAAGAGCAGAATGTTCCAAGAGTTATTGAATTAAGTACATCAAATGGACAGAGAGAATCTTGAGCGATGTGTCGCATATCATCTGTATAAAGAAGCTTTCCATTTGCAATAAAATGGGGTA